CAAGTTGCACCCTAAATGGTAGTGAATTAAGGATACATACAACACACAAGAAACTAGGAAGCAAAGTGCAATGTCAATCAGCAGTTGCAAAAGCCAATAAGGTATTGTTATGTATAAAAAGGGGCATAATTATAATAATATATTAAATTTTATAATTTGGCCTTTTTATAAATAACTCGTAAGTCCACAACTTGCATATGCTGTACAATTCTGGGCACCAGTCCTAAAGAAGGATGTTATGGGACTAGAAAAGTGTAGAGGCTTGTTACAAAAGTAATAAAATGAATGGGGCATATTAGTTATAAAGAAAAGTTGACCAATTTAAATATATTTAGTTTAGAAAAACAGCACATCAGAGGGAATAGATAGCATTACACCACTATATTTGGGCTACTACAAACCATTATAAAACAGTGTTGAACTGTGTGGTATAGAAAGCAGTTTTTTTGACTGGGGTTGATTTCTATACCACAGAGTTCAACACTGTTTTATTGTCATTTGTGTTAAGGAGCGAAAAATTTAAACTCTGGTGGTAGCAGCTCATAGTTATCTGTACCCATACTGTTTAAGCACTTTTACAAACAAAATATCTATTGTTCTACTTCAAACTATTGTCTGGAAATCTATTTTTAAATAAGCCCACTCTCTCACTCCCAGCTGCTGACTCTTTTTCTCCAGTGCGACACTCTGTGTCTGGGAGGAAGTGACAGGCTGTCACTTCCTCACAGCATGTGATACTACAGCGGTGCAGTTACGCTCTTAAATGGCCGCAACGCCTGACAGGGCCCCTGTTTAGCGATACTTTTTGGGTGGCCCAAAGTGCTTGGACCGCCCGATAGGCAAATCGAGGTGGAACCCCAATTTTGTTCTCGCTAAAATCTAGGGTTGCGCGGAACACCAATTGGAAAATGCTGGTCTAAGGCAAAGGAAATGGTTGTTTTTTCACAGTAAGAACAAAAAGTTAGTATAGTTACATAGTCACATAGCTGAAAAGAGACTTGTGTCCATCAAGTTCAGCCTTCCTCACATTTGTTTTTTGCTGTTGATCCAAAAGAAGGCAAAAAACCCAGTTTGAAGCACAATTTTGCAACAAGCTAGGAAAAAAAATCCTTCTTGACCCCAGAATGGCGGTCAGATTTATCCTTGGATCAAGCAGTTATTACCCTACATTGAAAGATTATATCCTTGAATATTCTGTTCTTGCAAGTATGTATCTAGTAGCCGTTTGAACATCTGTATGGACTCTGATAAAACCACTTCTTCAGGCAGAGAATTCCACATCCTGATTGTTCTTACAGTAAAAAAACCTTTCCTTTGCCTTAGACGAAATCTTCTTTCTTCCAGTCTAAACGCATGACCTCGTGTCCTATGTAAAGTCCGGTTTGTGAATAGATTTCCACACAATGGTTTGTATTGGCCCCGAATATATTTGTATAATGTTATCATACCCCTCTCAGGCGACATTTTTTCTAAACTAAATAGGTTTAAATTTGTTAACCTTTCTTCATAACTGATATGTTCCACTCCTTTAATTAATTTTGTAGCCTGCCTCTGCACTTTTTCTAGTGCCATAATATCCTTCTTTAGAACAGGTGCCCAAAATTGCACAGCATATTCAATATGTGGTCTTACCAGTGATTTTATAAAGAGGCAAAATTATATTCTCGTCCCCAGAATGAATGCCCTTTTTCATGCATGACAATACCTTACTGGCCTTGGCCACTGCTGATTGACATTGCACATTGTTGCATAGTTTGTTGTCTATAACAATTCCCAAGTACTTTTCATGTGCTGTTATCCCTAATTCGCTTCCATTAAGGGTATACGTTGCTTGTGTATTCTTTACGCCGAAGTGCATAACTTTGCATTTTTCAACATTAAATTTCATCTGCCATTTGAGTGCCCAATCCCCCAGTCTATCTAAATCCCTCTGCAGCAAACTAATATCTTGCTCATATTGTATTATTTTACAGAGTTTTGTGTCATCTGCAAACACTGAAACAGGACTTTCAATGCTGTCTTCAAGATCATTTATAAACATGTTAAATAGAAGGGGTCCCAGAACAGACCCCTGAGGGACACCACAATTTACCATTAATGACAACTCTGTACTTGTACTCTGTTTTTAAACCAATGTTCTACCCAAGAACAAATATTTTCATCTAGACCGATTTCCTTGAGTTTGAACCCTAATCTATTGTGTGGAACTGTATCAAATGCCTTGGCAAAATCCAAATAGATCACATCCACTGCAACACCCTGATCTGTACTTCTACTTACTTCTTCGTAGAACGCAATCAAGTTAGTTTGACATGACCTGTGCTTCATAAAACCGTGCTGATTTTTGCTGATAACCATGTTCTTCTCAAGAAATTCTTGAATATTATCCCTTAATAACCTTTCAAATATTTTCCCAGCCACAGAAGTTAAGCTCACAGGTCTGTAATATCCAGGCAAGGATTTTGAACCCTTTTTGAATATAGGAACCACATCTGCTTTCCTCCAATCCTCCGGAACACTTCCTGAAAGAAAAGAATCTTGAAAGATTAAAAACAGATGTTCACTTATTTCTACACTTAGTTCCT